ATGCCCAGTCTCTTGACACTTCTGTATACCGAAAGAGTATTTGCCACATGACGATAATTAAACCAGAATCGAGACGTACACACCTTGAATTTTTAGGGGAAAAAAAAGAGCATATTAAATAGTGTACAAGGTACAAATTGGCTTGGCACATTGCATCAGAAGACCATGATTGTATACCAACAAACTGGTAACAAATCGGAAAGAACACAGCAACACCAAGAAACTCGTGATATAAGCTATATAAACCTTTGTTGTACCAAAGCATCAAATGCTGAAAGTAAAAGTTTAAAAAAAAAAATGTTCTTAACATACTGACTCATGAAAAAATTGTCATAAAACCCAACTAAGTATAGAAAGTGGCACTTCGGGAAATAATTCAGCAACAGTAAGTGGATAAGCTAAATTTTTTCATTTGCTTTCTCTGTATCAAATGGAAGAAAAATCAAAGGATGGTTTTCATCTCAATAGTAAACCCATTCTGGGAGCATCCTCGCACAAAGGCATAAGTACATTCATGCAGAAGCCACACACAGGGGAAAATACACTGAGGACGTTTGCATATAACGAGTCAAATATAATAAAGTAAGAGCTAAGCAAGCTCTAAGCAAAATCTGAATACAAATTCCCTAAAATCTCAAAAGAGCTCAGGTTCTACTGTTTTAACAGACGAAGGATGGGGGATTAGCCATTCCTGTACTTAAACTATTCCCCACGTCAGATATTTAATCTATCCTCAAAAACGTCAAAACAATGAGATTTCAAACTGCAGATTTCTGCTGTAGTTCCTTACTAGCCCCATCACTGTCCTTGGGTTTAACTTCAGTTCACTACTTTTCATTTGTTCCACACCAAGGACAGCAATTCTCCTTTGGAGACAATTTTCCTTCCTTTTTACAAGTCTTTCAAACAGACAAAGGAAAAAGCATTTTAGAAGAGGTGAATTTAAAACCACAAAAACAGAGAAGCAGGAACAAGCATTAGTTTGTTTTTTAATTTTTCAGCTTTAAATGTACAGCCCTAATTTAAATGGAAACATCTTTAAGTTACACTATGTACCATTTTTTTCTCTAGCCTTTTCATAAAAAGAAATGAGTAGTAGCTTAAATAATAATAAAAATTCAGCCTGAAAGGATCCCCTTGTGTCTTGATCATTCCGTCAGTCAGGAATTTCAAAAAAGCCCATGGGAATCAGTGTGTGAACATTTGCCTTTCAGCAAGATTTAAAGGTCTGAAAACTAACTGTGGCCAATCCACCTGTGACATTTCAAGACATTACCATCTGCCCCCTTCCTCCATTACCTCCCTTACAACACAGTGGAAAATGAGTCTATGCTTTAAATACAGCTATCCACACTGCAGCATATTAATTCAAACAACTGATGTGGTGAGATTGCTGTATGATCCCAGGCTTGAAGTGCCTGTTAGCAGTAAAACCTTCTCTATTTTACTGCTTAAAAAATTAGCAGCAATTGTCACAAAGCTTAATCATGAACTACTGAAAAAATACAACGAGCAGAAAAATCTGTTGAGGACAGAAAGTATAGATCCTTGGACCTAATTTTCTACGTTCTTTGTGTGTTATTATGGGTACTAATAAAAGCAGATATTTGTTAATAGTATTAAAGCAGTATTTGATGTTTTAATAGTTTCAAGTTTGTACATTGTAGAACATGGACATTATTCCTTCTAATTCAATTAATTACTGTTAATTTTCCTTTTATATGGGTCTGCTTATTATCTGGAAAACAAACAGCTGCTACTGAGTAATTACAACAGTGTTCTGAAACAAATTACTCATTAAGACCTGAATTGTGATTAAGAACCAATTGTGTAGCATGATTCAAAGCTAATAAAAGATTCATAGTACAGAAAAAAAAACCACTAGGATAAGAACAGTTGATCTAAACATTATGTTGCCTGAATTTATTTTATTCTAGGCCTGATATAACAAGTTAAGAGATTGAGTAAGAACAAAAGCCAGAAATGAATTGTACCTTTCTGGTCAAAGAGATACACTTCTCCAGTATCAGAATTACACCTTTGTTCAATATGCAGTACAGCAGTTTAACTGTTTTAATGCTGTAAGAACTTTTGTATGAATCCTGACATGTAGCTAGATGTTCTGACTGCTTGAAAATGCAATCATACTGAAAATATAATTTCATTATAGTGTAATTAATTTGCAGGCACAATTTCAGATTTATTAATTTCCAGGTCTTTATCTTTCCATTTATTTAAAATGAACAGAATTATTGAGTGACTGTGGCTTCTGATTAAAAACTGTCAACTTTATTGGAAGAAAACAACCTGGACCACACTTACCAAAACTGCCCAGTTGTTTGTATGTCCACTTCTGAAGAACTGTTCTGCGTGATCCTGAAAGATGGAGAAAATAGTTGATGTTTTTCAGCGACAAGAAATAAATCACTGCTCATATTTTTGTTATTTCCATGAAACAGCATTCAATGCATATCTTTAGCAGACCTTAACACTGAACAAACCTTACAAAGCAGGTAGTTTTTCTTATTCCACTTTGCACATTTCATGCAAGCTAATTACTCCAAATCTTTCCTTGAAACTTGCTAATTAACAAAGGAGAAAGAACTATTAGTCACTTTCAGCTTAGTTAAAACAAGAAGCCCACACATGTCTATCTCAAAGGACACTCACAAGATCAAAATAAAATTATTTATTGACCTACAGGATCTTCCTTAATGAGAAGGGAGGCTTCGATTAATTTCTGTTTTCATTGTTTTCATCTTCTCAAAGCAGGTTAGTGAATCTGCAACTTTAACCCATTTTATATCCAAGCTGGTTACATTTATCTTCCAAAACCAGGAGCTATGACAACAACCTTCTCTATAACCAGCGTTATCCACAGCTCCCACCGTACTGCAGAGGAGAGGGTCCTTTTTCCTTAACAGCCAGCATAAATCAGGACACAGAAAGGGGTAAAACTTCCCAGAGGTAAGGGAACAAGCCTGTCACAGGACAAGAATGTAGACTTGCTGATTCTTAACCAGGCTCTGTTAACTCTCCAAGGGGTACGGGGCTGATGCCTGTGGTCTCCCACAAAACACACAGCAAAAGTGTTTGCTTAAGTACATGTAAAGCATACTGTGCTTCAAGCAGCAAACAATTTGCAGTGTGATTAGTAATCCTAAGACTCTAAAAATACTTATATTGGCTATTTTTTTGTCCCATTTGTAATTAATTTCAAGTATGACACTTTGTTAATAAAGCAGAATTCAAGTGCAAACAACACTCCAGATGTAGCGTGGGCACTGCACAAAAAGCATAATTACTGAAATGTGAAATTACTCCCACCTGAGAAAAACCCATTACCCCCTCCTGAGTGTGAAACTCCCCCTACCCGCGAGGGGGCCCAGGGCAATGCTGCCCAGGGGAGCCCAGCCAGAGCCACCGCGGGGACAGCGCCCAGCACCCCGCCCTGCTTCGGAACCGCACAAACGCCGCTCACACGCAGCTGAGCCACCAAGCGCCCGGGGAGGAACGCGACACACCGGCTACGGAAAGTTACATCGCGCAGCCAAAGAGCCTTTCAGAACCCTTCCCTTCAAGCGCATAAAGAGACAGGGAACAAGTTAGATATACGCGAGGCCCCCGCTGTTTCG